GTTCTCTCTCTCTCTCTTTCATCTCTCTCCATCTCTCTCAAAAATAAATAAATGAAAGTTAAAAAAGAAAAGGAAAATTTTAAGCGGGAGCTGTAGTTAACCCACAAAATAATTGAAAGAAACATTCAACATACTGTAGGTTGAGCTTCTAGGAGTAATACCTGTGACCAAACTGGGAAAGTAGATGGGCTAGGGAGCTGTCTGCTGTGATCTATGCATGCAAAATTGATGCTTCCTTCCTGCTTTTTTGTTTTTGTTTTTGTTTTTTAACTTTAAACAAAATGTGAAATATAGCATACATATAAAAATGTCACGAAACGTAAATGTACACTTCAATGAGTAGTTACAAAATGAGCTTTAAAAGTTAAGAGAACATTGCCTGTACAACAGAAGCCACATAATGTCTTTTCTGATCTCATATTCTTATATTCTCAAGGGGTAACCACTGTCCTGACTTTTGTGGTGCTAGTTCTATAGCAATTTACTTATTTTTCTTTCTTTTTTCCTTTTTAAAAGGAAGTTTTTTTGAGAGAGCAAGCACGAGTGGAGAACAGGGAGAGAGGGAGGGAGGGGGAAAGAGAGAGAGAGAGAGAGAGGGAGAATCCCAAGCAGGCTCTGTGCCCTACACTGAGTCTGACGTGGGGCCTGATTCCATGACCACAAAATCATGACCTGAGCTGAAATCAAGAGTTAGATGCTTAACCGACTGAGCCACCCAGATACTCCTTAAAGATTTTATTTTTAAGTAATCTCTTCACCCAACGTTGGGCTCAGACCTACAACCCCAAGATCAAGAGTCAAATGCTCCACTGACTGAGCCAGCTGCCCTGATTTACTTATTTTTCTCAATAGTTTTACTACTTATTTTAAAACATGATAGTTTTCTTTTGAAGAAAATCATGCGGTTTGCTTTTATCTCATGCTTCTTGTGAGATTCTTACATGTTACATGTAGTGTAGTCTATTGTAGTCTTTTGTCACATTGAAGGACATTTGGGTTGTTCCTCCTTTTCAGCCCATATGAATGATGCATCTCTGAACATTCATATGTATTGTGTGTATGTATATGTGTGTGTGTATATATATATATATGCACATACACACACTGATTTATGGTATATGTCTAGGGATAGTGCGTAGTCAAAGTGTATACGTATATTTATTTTTGATAATGCCTAGATGTTTTCCCAAGTAGTTATATCAGTTTATACTCCCACCAGTAGTTGATAGAACATGTTGCTCCATATTCCTAATCACAGTTACTATTGTCAGACTTTAATTTATGTGATCTGATAATTGTGTAGTGGAATCTCATTGTGGTTTTTATTTTATATTTCCCTGTTGATTAAAGAAGCTGAATACCTTTGCATGGTTTTTGTCTGTTTGGATTTCCTTTTATGCAAAAGGCCTGTTCAAGCCTTTTGTCCATTTTTTATTGCATAGTCTGTCTTATTGATTTGTTTTGTAGGAGCATTTTATATATTCTGGATACTATTCCTGTGGAATGTATATATATTACAAACTCCATTTTTTGAGATATCTTTTCGCTCTACTCATGGGATCTCTTGACAAGAATTCTTAATTTTGATGGTAGTACAATTTCGCATTTTCTTTATATGGCTAGCCCATCTTTTGTCTTTAGGAAATCCTTCCCTATCTTGAGGTCATGAATGTACCTTCCTAAATATTTTCTAAGCAGCTTAAGCTTTACTTTCATATTAAGTCATTTGATGTACCTGGAATTGACTTTTTGTGCTTGGCATCAGGGACCCAAAATGTTTGGTAGTTTTGGGGTTATTTAAAGAGAGAGCAGGGGAGGGGCAGAGAGAGAAGGAGAGAGAGAATCTCAAGCAAGCTCTGCGTGGTCGGCCACCCAGACACCTGTTTTTTGCTTTTTGTTTTGTTTTAAATCTTGTTGCAATTTCATGTACTGGATGCTATCTTTACGGTTGGTGTATCAAGTGTTTAAATATGCATGGGTCCGTTTCTGTGCTTACCATTCTCTTGTAAACGGTACTCTGGTTTACACCTTTTCCATAAAAGTCTTGTTAGAGATTTGTTAGCCATGTTCCCAGATATATACCTTTTGCTGTTAATTGTGAGTGGTATTTTAAAAGTTACATTTTGTAATTTTTTTAAAAGACAGTAAGAGAGAGAGAGAGAAAACGTGTGCCCCTGAGCAGTGGGAAGGGGCAGATGGAGAGACAGAATCCTAAGCAGTCTCCATGCTCAGCACAGAGCTGGATATAGGGCTCAATCCCACAACCCTGGGATCATGACCTGAGCCCAAATCAAGAGTCAGATAGATGCTCAACCAGCTGAGCCATTGGGCACCCCAACATTTGTAACAGTGTAATTTTTTGTTGCTGGTTTACAGAAATAGCATTGATATTTTATATAACAATATATAACCGTACTGAACCTTGTCAGTGCCAATAATCTATAGATTCTTAGGATTTTTCCACAGATTTTTTTTGGGGGGGGGGCCTTTTTTGTTTGTATACTCCTCTTGATGCCTCTCAGGCTCTTTGCTTTTCTTAAATAATGGTCATAACAAAAACTAACATTTATTGAGCATTTACTGTGTGTCTAGTACTGTTGCAGTGGTTTTACATTGTGTGAATTTCTAGCTTCATCAGTATTGGTAGCTGTTCTGGTTTCCCTCAGCAGCTGTGAGGGCCATTATTTCATATGTTGCAAGCAGCCCTCTGCTGTGAGTGACAGGACATTCTGTGGGGTGGATTCCATCTGCTGGATGAGATGAGGAGATGCACTGTAGGATTCAAGAAATATCTTTTTAGCGTATGTAATATTGTAAAGAAAAGAACTCTAGGTAGGGACACCTGAGTGGCTCAGTGGGTAAGCATCCGTCTTGATTTCAGCTCAGGTCATGATCTCAGGGTCCATGAGTTCAAGCCCGGCATCGGGCTCTGTGCTGACAGCTCAGAGCCTGGAGCTTGGATTCGGCGTCTCCCTCTCTCTCCATTCCTCCCCTGCTCATGCTCTGTCTCTGTCTCTCAAAAGTAAATAAATGAACTCTAGTTAACCTGAATACACTAGAGAAACCTTGTGGCTATGAAAGGTGTGTAGCACCCCATCCAGTTTTTTAGGCCCTATTTCTTATCCCTCATCCCCTTTGAGCCCCTGTTGTCTCTATCAACAGATGCATCACTTCCCTTAAAAGAAAGGTATTATAATTACTGGCAGCTTAACAACTAAAATGTTTCACCTTTTACTGTGCAGAAGTTTAGGCACTGACCTAGCTCCTGAAGTTTTAACTATATCTGCCAAACTTCTGCTATCTATTCCTGACACAGCTGCTGTCACTGTCTGTCACTTTCTGGGACTCTTTTAACAGGGAAAACTGATGTATTGCTTTCTTTACTGACTGTGGTTTTTGCTTATATTGGATTACAAGTTTTGCATTCTGATTTTTCCTTTAATGTAATTCCATTTCTTTAAAATTCTGGGGATTCCTCAGATTTGCTTATGCCCCTTCTCTGTGTTCATGACTGCTATGGACTTTTTCTAATACTTATATTCTGTCCTTTCAATGGGATTTTGGTGAGGAGAATGTGTCAGTGTTTGGATTCAGTTGGCTATCTTGAACCATAAATTGTAGTTTATTTAATATTACAGAATATTTCAAGTTTTTTAAAAGTTTATTTTAGAGAGCGAGAGCGCGCCCACAAGTGGGGGAGGGGCAGAGAGCGAATCCCAGGCAGGCTTTGAGCCTCAAGCTCACGAACCCTGAGATCATGCATGACCTGAGCTGAAATCAAGAGTCAGACCCTTAATTGACTGAGCCACCCAGGTGCCCCCAGAATATTTAGAGTTTTTCAATAACAATGAACTAGACATTTAAGATTTTGGAGTTAAATATATTGGGTCTCTGCCACTTGATATTTGAGTTGTCTTGAGCAACTTTCTGAACTATTTCAAACTATTGATTTCCCTATTTGTAAAATAAAAATAATGGGAATAATTTTACCTGTCTTGGAGGTTTGCTGCAAGTATTATTTTAATTAAAAAAAATTTTTTTTAATGTTTATTTTTGAGAGAGACAGAGTGTGAGCGGGGGAGGGGTAGAGAGAAGGAGAGACAGAATCTGAGGCAGGCTCCAGGCTCTGAGCTGTCAGCATGGGGCTCGAACCCACAAACCATGAGATCATGACCTGAGCCAAAGTTGGATGCTTAGCATACTGAGCCACCCAGGTGCCCCATGCAAGTGTTATTTTGTTGTTTTTTTTGTTTTGGTTTTTGCAAGTGGTTATTTTAGATTATTCATGTAACGCTCTTAGCACAGAACCTGGTATATAATAAGTGCTCAATAAAAATGTTATTTGTTAGATTACGAATATTCAAAACAGCTACTTCAAAAACAATTCAAGTAGCTTTTTTATGGAAATCTTTTCAAAGAGAAATTAATAAATAGATGCTAAGCTACTGGCTATAGAGGTATCAAAACTCTGAGGACATCCTTGCTGCTAAATGTAGTTAGGACTAAGACATTTGGAACTAGTTACTTTATCCTATAATATATTTTTAAAAAAATATTTATTTTTGAGAGAGTGCAAGCGGGGTGGGGTTGGGAGAGGGGAGACAGAGGATCCAAAGTGGGCCCTGTGTTGACAGGCTGACAGCAGCAAGCCCAATATGGTGCTTGAACTCACGAATAGGGAGATCATGACGAGCCAGAGTCAGACACTCAATCAACTGAGCCACCCAGCTGCCCCTATCCTGTAATATTTTTTTCCTAATGTTGGTTTGATGGTTGTAATATAATTATATTATTGATAAAATTCATTAATATATTGATGAAGGAATTAACACAAGTTCTTTTTGAATAGCTTTAAAAATATTCTTAAATTTTATTCTATGCTAATTCAAGTCTTTTTTTTTTCTAAATCAAGTCTGATTCAGCACATGTTGCCATTTTTACTCTGATACAATACTAATGTTTATATCTGGAAGAGTAAAATATTTTATTTCTTATTACAGCAGAATGGCCAAAGACTATGACAGGTCTTCCCAGCACATCAGGGACAACTGCCAGTGTGGTCATCATACGGGGCACGAAGATGTATGTAGCTCACGTGGGTGACTCAGGGGTGGTTCTTGGAATTCAGGATGACCCGAAGGATGATTTTGTCAGAGCTGTGGAGGTGACACAGGACCATAAGCCAGAACTTCCCAAGGAAAGAGAACGAATCGAAGGACTTGGTGGGAGGTAATCATTGTGCTGTTTTGTCTTTCCTCTCTTGGTTCTATTTAGTCCTTTTCTGCTTTACTAACCAGATTGACCTTTACTCACTTTTGAAGTTATTTTCTCAGTATTACATGTTTTTAGTTTGCCTAATAAAGTACCCATCTGTGTTCATACTTACCTCATTGTTTTGAATTGACTTTTTTTTTTTTCCTAATAATGGCTCCAGAGGGAAATACTATTTTAATGGGAGTCAAGTAACACATACAAGGATTTACTGATCACCTTTTACGTAAATACTGATCAGCAAGACTTTCAGAATCTGAACAGAACAGCCCTTAGGATTCTGGAATAGAACAGTTTGAATCTGGCTTTGAGAATAGAATTTTGTTACAGTTAACCTTCAGCTCTTTGTTTTATTTTTTTATTTAAAAAATTTTTTTTAATGTTTTTATTTATTTTTGAGGCAGAGAGAGAGGGAGACACAGAATCTGAAGCAGGCTTCAGGCTCTGCGCTGTCAGCACAGAGCCTGACGCGGGGCTCGAACTCACGGACTGTGGGATCATGACCTGAGCCGAAGCCGGACGCTTAACCGACTGAGCCACCCAGGCGCCCTTAGCTCTTTGATTTTTAAGTCAGATGTGCTGCTGCAAACCTTTCTTCTGATTATTTTATTTTGCCTGTTTCAAGTTATTGTTTCAATGTGTAGTTTGTAAACTATGAACTGAAAGTGGCTTTAGCATATTTTATGATGCACACTAAAATGCAAGATTATTCTAAAAACCAGAGGAATGAATAACATGAGAACATTTAAAAATTATTCCAATACTAATGTTTAAAAATTCAGGGTATGAGGCAAGTTAAATAGAATCCAGTATTTTCTAAATAATTGTTCTAACTAAAGTCTTACCATGATATTATTTCTTGCCTCCTTTTTCTTCCTTCTATTAGATCAAAATAGTTTTTTTCCGGAGTATTAATAAACTGGGAAAATAATTAATGTCCTTAAACTATAAGGGGTTCAAAAATCAGTAAGAAAAACACTAAAACACTGCCACACCCAGATAGGTGAATGAAGGAGAGGACTTTCGAACAACAGCAACGAAAATGCAAAAGCGAGTAAATATTTGAAAAAATTGCTGAAGTGAAACTATTTCTTGCTATTGGGTTACCAAAGTTAAAAAAAAAAAAAAAAACCAGATACTTCTCAATATTTTATAGTGTGAAATGGGAATCCTGTTGGTAGGATTATAAATTGGTATGACCTGTATAGAATATAATACACATCACTAACTTAAAAATGTTTATAGATTTGTAATTTTGGGAATGTATTCTAAAGAAATCTGAAATGTGGACCAGAATATCTAAAGAGAGTTATTGATTGCAGTGATGTTTAATGGCTGTTGAAGCCTGGAAATAACTTGAAGGCCCAACAATTGAAGAATTGTTAAGTAAATTATCAAACATATTTATAACATTGAATATGATATAGCTATTAAAAATAATGTTTATAGTAAATTTTTAAAAATCATGGTGTTAAGAAAATTTTCAAACATAGGTAAAGGTGGAGAGAGTAGTATAATGAACTCTCATATGTATGAAGAATTTTTAGTAATATAGGATAATGCTTACTAGTCACAAAATAAGCAGGATGTAAGTTATATCTCAACTATGCAGAGAAATAGGAGTAGTATAGGAATACACCAAATGTTAATAATTTTCTGTATGATGATTTACATATAACTAAATATGTATAATTTTTAATGGGAGCATTCATTTGGTTAAAATTTAGGTAGCATAAAATGATGTACTTTAGAAGGTTTCTCAACTACTACTGTCCCACAGGCCACCCAGTTCCTCTCCCTCTCAAGAAACCAGTATTACTGTGAATTCTTTGATGGCTATTCATGCACAATCCAATATGAAGCTGTACCATGTATGGATGTACCATCATTTATTTAACTAGTCTCCTGTTGAAGAGTATTTGTTTCTATTTTTTTGTTGTTGTTGATATTACAAACACTACTGTAAAATGAAAAATCTTGTGCACGCATCTTTTTGTGCATACAAATATATTTGTAGGATTATTTCCTAGATGGAATTGCTGGGCCAAAGAGGAGTATTTTTAAATTTTTAAATCATTAATTAATTAATTTAAAATGGTTACTTATTTATTTTGAGAGGGATCGAGAGAGAGCGCATGTGATTGGAAGAGGGGCAGAGAGAGAGAATCCCAAACAGGCTCTGCACTGTCAGCACAGAGCACAACATGCTTCCCAGAAACCATGAGATCATTACCTGAGCCAAAATCAAGAGTTGACATTTAACTTACTGAGCCACCCAGGCGCCCCAGGAACCCTTTATACTCTTAAAAATTGTGGACCTCAAAGAGCTTTTTGTTTATATGGATTATATATAATGATTTTACCGTATTAGAAACTAAAAATGGAGACATTTTCAAATATTTCTTAATTCATTAAAAAATAATACTAAACCCATTGTGTTAATATAAAGAACATTTTTATGAAAAATAGCTATTTCTCAACACGTGTATTTAGTGAGAGGATTGGCATTGTTTTACACTTTTGAAAGTCTCTTTAATGTCTGGCTTAATAGTGATAGCTAGATTCTCATATCTGCTTCTGCCTTCAATCTGTTGTAAGATGTTTTAGTTGCAGTATCAGAAGTAAAATGTGGTCTTTCATAGATACATAATTGGAAAAAGGAGGAGTATTTTGTTTCATTCATTCATTTATGTATTTATGTTTTTAATGTTTATTTTTGAGAGAGAGCAGCATGTGAGCGGGGGAGGGGCAGAGAGAGAGAGCGAGAGGGTGAAATGGAAGCAGGCTCCAGGCTCTGAGCTGTCAGTACAGAGCCCAGTGCAAGGCTCAAACCCACAGACTGCAAGATTGTGACTATAATTGACTGAGCCCACCCAGGTGCCCCAAGGAGGAATATTTTAAAAACTTTTCCATGTATTGGAGATATTCATCTTTGATGTTATTCCAGAACTCAAAAAGAGGTAGTTTCTTAAGGGTTAATAATAGTATATATTAATGACCTTTTTATACACTCACATTAAGATCCATAGGTATATCAATTGAGAGCTATTGCTTAAATGGCTTTTTTTTTAAATCCACATAGGATTTTTTTTTATTATTAATAGACTTTATGTTTTAGAACAGTTTTAGGTTCATGGCAAAATGGAGTGGAAGGTAATGAGAATGCCTGTATACTCCCTGCTTCCTCCTATACACACAAACTTCACTCCTACACCAGAGTGGTGTATTTGTTACAATTGATAACCCTACATTGACATATCATTATTACCCCAAGTCCGTAGTTTACCTTAGGGATGTTCTGGAGTTTTGACAGACATACAGTAACATGTATCTACCATTACAGTATCATAAGAATAGTTTCACTGTCTAAAGATTCTGTGCGCTTTGCCAATTTATCCTCCCTACCTCCTTTGTTACTGGCAACCACTGGTTTCTTTGTTGTCTCCGTGGTTTTGCTTTTTCTAGAAGATCATATAGTTGGAATGGTACAGTATTTAGTGCCATGTGTGATTTTGTAACATAGGCATTGGTCATTTGTAAAATACTGGTTTATTGAGTTACACATATCCAAATATTGACACGTTTTATCATATATCATATCAAGACATGTAGCCTTTCAAAAATTCCACTGTATACACATGGTCTTACGAAAATAATTTTGACCTGGCAGACCCCCTGAAAAGATCTGGGAATCACTTTTCTAGTACTTGTATGGAGAGACCTTCAGTCTCCCTGGAATTTTAAAATCTGAGATGTGTAGTAGGGTACAAGTAATTTTTTTTCTTTATGGCCATTAGTAGCTACTGGAACAATTATATATCTTTTTCTTACTGATTAGAAGTCTTTACCAGGCATAAAACCCCTCTTTAATGGGAAGATAACCTTGAGTTTACTCTCTTCTAGCACTGTTTCTCTGGTTAAGATAAATAACAGAGTGTTAGCTCTGTTATAAGGTAACATTGCTTATGGTATACTGATCCTTGAATTGGAACTGTATCTGTTTAGAGAAGATTTTGAGTGTACTATAAATTTCTGTTGGAAAGCACAGACCTTATTAGCAGCCCTATATCATGCAGTTTGACTTGTGCAGGGATGGGCTATTAAAAGACACTGATTCCTGTGGCATATGAAGCTCATTTATGGGGGCTAGAAAATGGCTCTTGGATTTCTGTTAAGGATCATTTCTGGAGACAACATGACTGAAGCTGCCATGCTGGCATACTGTGCTTCCTGTTCTGTATCCTACAAAGTTAAATGAGCCTGGTTTCATGCTGTCATTTATGTGATCCTATGAGTTTGAAAGTCAGTCTGTATCTGAGACCAATACTGGTAGTCATGCAAAGTGGGCTTTGCAATTATAAACTGAATTCCTGTATATCCTTGGGTCTTTTTCTGAGGTTTTTTAATATTATATGTGTACCAATAGCACGCTTTTTTTTAATTGAGGCTTTGTTGCAATTTTTAATATTGGTAGGCCTGATCCCTTTTCATTAATCTTTTAAAAATATTTTCTTGATGATTCTTTATTTTTTATATGAATTGTTAAATTAGATTTTCTTTGATTTTTTTTTTAATAACTTTTTTTAGAGTTTGTTTTTTGTCTTATCACTTAAAATACCATCTGGATAGTTGGACAGATGCTCTTTGCCATTTGGGAGCAGGTGTCTTTTTGCACAAATTGAGCTGTTTTATTAGAAGTTATTTCCTCCTTTCCCTCTGTCTCACCCTAGGCAACTGGCCAGTGCTATGTTTTTCCAGCCTTCTGTTGCTGCTCAGTCAGCTCTCTGCATATCAGGCTGTTCCTTTTGTGTATGCCTTTTAATCATACAGGACAACAGCAGGGAGTACAATAAAAGCAGTCTGCTTTTGTTTTTTGTTTTGTTTTTTGTTCCTCAGAAACACAGAGACCATAATATCTTTGACTATTAAGTGTCAAGAGAGCTCCTACTTAGATTTATAATGGAAACAATTTGGGTAGCTACTGTAATTACCTAAGTATGTATTAAAACTTACATTTGAGGGAGCAGGTTTAGGAAAGAATAGGACTTAGGTGGTATGAAGACAGAATGATGGTGTTTCTTCTTGTGAATGGTAGATTTAATCTTTACTCTCCTGTTTGTTTTTTGAGGATCAGCATTGAAGAAAGCATAGAATAACAAAATGGCCACCTTTGATAGTCTCACTCTTGAGACTATGACCTAGAATAATGTTGCTTTGAGGACTGTGAATTAAACAAAATGGTTCTCAAAGGGATAGTAAATAAACAACTCTCGTAATTTTCTCTTCTGTGTTATCATTGACAACGTTTTGTGACCATTCTGTACTTGCTTCATTCCTCCTTTGTGCTATCCAATATAGTTTCCACTAGCCACATATAGCTGTTTAAATTTAAATAGAATTAAAATCAAATAAAATTAAAAATTCAGTTCCTCATTTAGCACTAGCCACAGTTACAGTGCTCAGTAGCCATGGAGAGCAGCAAAGTGAACATTTCCATCGTTACAGAAAGTTTCGTGAGACAGCTGCTCAAGTCCCCTGGCATGCCCTTATCAGATAAGTTTGTTTTCTACTTCAGAAAGGTTGAGGCTGTTCTGCCATATTCATGTTTTTCTTGGCTCAGAGGAAGAGTGGCCTTTTCTCATTTATATGGCTTATGCCTTTATTTTTCTTCTCTTAGAACTTTTATTCCATTTGTTATCTCTTTTTTCTCTAGTATCTTCATTCTTTTGAAGTTAGAGTAGAGATAGAAAAGCCATAGTTGGGGCTTAACTAGCTGGCAGCTGCTGAGGTATATGGCATTTTATAGTGACATTCCTTTGAGGGTGGTTGCCATTAGTTGTCCTGTCTTCAGCTTTCTAAATCTTTTTTTTTTTTTTTTTTGAGACAGGGCAGGGCAGCAGGGGAGGGCAGAGAGGGACACAGAATCGAAGCAGGCTCCAGGCTCTGAGCTGTGCTGAGCCAGGCGATGCACTGAATTGTAGCCCACAAGTGAGGTCAGGAGCCTGAGCGAGCTGGATGCTTAACCGACTGAGCCACCCAGGCACCCCACAGCTTTCTAAATCTTAAAGCCAGTTTTATTTTGGTGTTCATCAAGTTTAGGAGGATAGAGTCATGCTACTCAAGGTCAAAATAATCAACTGATAAGGGACTCATGTATTCATCAAGATGTCTTAGTACTCATTAATCATGAGAAAAATAACTGACAAGAAAACCTCATGTTATTGTCAGTTGGCCTGCTGTTGATGAAATGAAATTTCAGATTATAATCAAAGGGTTTCTGGATGCACGGGAGTTCTAAGTGAGAAGACTTAATTATATTATCTTAGTGTCATCTGTCTCAGAGTCTTGGGAATTACCCTCTGTCTTCTGCATGTATCTGTCAGGTAGACTTAATATCAATTAGGCTAATATAGTTTCTTGAAAATTCTCTTTGTGTTTTTCTCCCCAACTTTTCTAGCCTTCCAGAGGAACATTTTTCTTGTGTAGATTTTTTTTTAATCCAGGCAGGTTATTAAATTAAGAGTCAGTTTACCATTTCAGTCATGCCAGGTAACTGCAGAGAGACCATCTCTATTGTGTTACTACTTTTTTTGCTCAAAGATTGACTATATTTTCATGTTTTAGGTACCCTAACATGTACTAACTTCTCCATATACTAATTACAGATTTCTGTTGCTCCTATGCCACATTCCTTTTTAAGAGTTTCCTTGTTCTGTAACTCCCACATCTATATCTCTACAGCTGATCTGCTTGCAAAGTCTACTCTCATACTTCTAATTACAGAAATATTTCTGTAATACATAGTTGTTTCTATTTAGGTATATCCTATGCCTCAAATTAAGAATATTAAAACTGAATTTGTACCTTTTTCAGTACAAGTCTCAAAAACTACATAACCTTCCCCTTTTAATTTTTTTATCATTGTTTATTTATAGCCTCTTCCTCTCCTCAGTTTTGTTAGTTATCACATTACCTTGCTTTTTTCTCTGACAGGTTATCTACTCATTTTTCTTCTCATTACTTCCACTCTGTTCTGTCTAACCTACCTTAGTAATCTCCAAATTCCCCATGTTAATCTACCCTATTTTGTCTTTGCTCTTTAAACAGGAATCTTGGCTTATGCATCTTTGTGTCTGAAATAGATAAGTCATTATTTCGTGATAATTGATTGTATTAGGTATTTGACACATTGACCTACTTTGTTATATTTTATTCATTTAGAGTATTTTTATGAACTCTTTTTTCAGTGTGATGAACAAGTCTGGGGTGAATCGTGTAGTTTGGAAACGACCTCGGCTCACTCACAATGGACCTGTTAGAAGGAGTACAGTTATTGACCAGATTCCTTTTCTGGCAGTAGCAAGAGCGCTTGGTAAGTAGGACTTACTTAGTGAAATCCTATTACATTTTCTACAGTGTACGGTGGTAACATAAAAGAGGAAACTAAGAACTAAACCTTCATTTAACAGATAATGGGGGTAGAAATATGCTGTTTTAATAGTAAATGCTTTAACACTCAATCCAGGGGAAGGTTAAAATACGGATTTCAGTGCCAATTGCTTCTTAAATTTTTTTTTTTTTTTCAACGTTTATTTATTTTTGGGACAGAGAGAGACAGAGCATGAACGGGGGAGGGGCAGATAGAGAGGGAGACACAGAATCGGAAACAGGCTCCAGGCTCTGAGCCATCAGCCCAGAGCCTGACGCGGGGCTCGAACTCCCGGACCGCGAGATCGTGACCTGGCTGAAGTCGGTCGCTTAACCGACTGCGCCACCCAGGCGCCCCAATGCCAATTGCTTCTTAATTAGGAGTCACGTTTAATGTTTTGCTGATTCCTACCTATACTTAGGGAAGTATATGTATGTCTGGGCTTGGTGTTACCCTTAAAACTGTTTTTAAATGTGCTTCCTTCAGCCTTTCATATTTCTCTTAAGAGCCTTTAAGGTTCTTTTTCTTTTTAGCTAGCAAAATAATTGTTCATTACAAAATAAAAATACTTCTTTTCTAGTCTACCTGGTTTTGGAAGAAAGGCTAGAGGATTATAGCTACAGAAATATCTTACCTGGGATGTGCCAGTTAAATTTTCTTGTACAGCAAATTTCTTTTAGGAAACACTGATTTTTTCCTTCTTTCCTCTAACAGAAACTTGAGTACTGACTTAGTGCCAGGCACTGAATTAGGCTTTGGAGAGATTTTACTGGTAGATATATTCTGTTTGTTTTCACGGAACAAGACTATGTAGTTGAGGAGATAGGCAATAAAGAAATAAGCTTGTAAATGAAATAAGTATGGATTAGGAAATACTGTGAGGAAAAGAAATGGGGTTCTGTAATAAAAAATAATTTAGAATGGAAAAACTTTTATATAGTGTAATAGAAATGCTCCTTTTAGGCGGTGTTATTTTAGCTGAGATTTGATGGCTGAGAAGGAGCTATTCTTGTGAAGAGTCTGTTAGAGAATATTTCAGGCCTGGATCCTGAATTGGGAAAGAACTTGACATGTTCTAGGAATTATCAAGAGACTGGAGTTAATGAGGCAGACATGGGCCATATCATGGCAGATATTTGCATTCTAGTCTGAGTGTGCTGGGAAACATTGAATGATACTAAGGTAAAGAGTAACACCATCTGATTTGCATTTTCAAAAGATCATTCTACCTTTCATATTACTATCTCTTAATTCGTCTTTGGTGATCAAATGCAGATAGGCTTAGCATTCATGGAACCTATAATCTAGTGGAGGAAATAGACAATAAATGAACAAATGGGAAAGTTGTTCTAAAAAGTGTCATAAAGGAATTAACCAAGGTGATATACCTGTAATTGGTAGGAGGATTAGTGGGTAACAGTGGAAGGCTACATTAAAGAGGATGATCAAGGAACATTCTTTAAAAAAGTATTTATTACTTGAGTTAGACCTGAAGGAGGAGAAGGGGGCGAGGAAAATAATAGTCAAAACATTCCCACAAAGCCATTAGGCAGTAGGTATTTGATTTGGGGCAGTGGATGGGTGAGTTGTCCAGCATGTATTCTCTTTTCCTACTAAATAACATACTGAAATTTTGGGAATTATGTCTCCCCTAATACGTGCAGTCTTAATTTAGACGTTCCTATTCAGGCTCCTTTTGTAAAACATAGGTCAGCTCAGTTAAATCAGTCAGATTCTCTATTCTAGGATTTTGAATTGTGACTCTAGTAAGGACAAAAATTAAAAACAAAGAAACTGGTTGGAATGAATTCATCTTAGGAATATTGACTTCTTTCGGCAGTGCCCATTAATATGGTAGGGTTTTCCTGCCTAAGGCTTGAAACTGACCTGTATCCATGCTTGGTTCTCCAGCTTCTTGTCTGTTGTGTGAACTACTTGGGTTTTCTTCTGAGTTGCCTTTTGGGCCTAACTTAACCTGAGTTGGAAATTGTCATTTGCAAGCACAGAATCCTAATGCAGGAAAGAAAGGGCTTGATGTCTTTAAGGAACATGAATGAAACCAGTGTGAGAGAGAGGAGGTAGAGATGTAAAATGAAAGTGGAGATGAGGATACTTACCCAATTAAGAAGGGCTGTGCAGGCTAAGTAAGGTAAGTTTGGTGAAGACATTATGGGTGGTAGGCAGGAACTAAACCCCACAAGGCTTTATGGCTAGACCATGATAAGGAACTTCATTTTAAATACTTTTGAGAAAAGGGTACCTGGGTGGCTCAGTTGGTTAAGCATCTGACTGACTCTTGGTTTCAGCTCAAGTCATGATCTTGTGGTTCATGGGATTGAGCCCTGAGGCATTGGGCTCTGCACCGACAGCGTGGAGTCTGGGATTCTTTCTCTTTGCTCCTGTCTCACTCATGCTGTCTCTCAAAATAAATAAATAAACTTCTGGGGCGACTGAGTGGCTCAGTTGGTTAAGCATCTCACTTCAGCTCAGGTCATGATCTAAGCAGTTTGTAAGTTCGAGCCCCACATTGGGCTCTGTGCTGACAGCTCAGAGCCTGGAGCCTGCTTTGGATTCTGTGTCTGCATCTCTCTCTGCCCCTCCCCAGCTCGCACTCTCTCTCGCTCAAAAATAAATAAACATAAAAATAAATAAACAAATAAATAAATACTTTTGGGAAGGAATTGAGGAGTAGAAGTATACCACAGTAGTTAAGAGAGACACTTTGGAGCCAAGATTCCAAGGCTCCAATCCAATGCTGTTTACTTACTATACAAACTTGGGCAAATCACTTATTATATGTAAATTACTTAATGGGGTACAGTTTTTTCAGCTGTAAATGGGGTTGATGATGGTACCTGCCTCATTCTTTTGTGAGGATTGGATGACAATATATTTAAAGTGCTTAAAATAGTGTCTTGCACATCATAAGCACTCTATAAATGTTAGCTGTTGTTATCGCTTATCGAAGTAGGACAGGGACTGATTCAGTTTTTTATTTTATTTTTTTATTATTTTATTCATTTAATTTTATTTAAATCCAAGTAGTTAACGTATAGTGTGATAGTGGTTTCAGGAGTACAGTTTAGTGATTCATCACTTAAAAATAACATGCAGTGCTCATCCCAACAAGTGTCCTCCTTAATGTCCATCATCCATTTAGTTCATCCCCTCACCAGATACCCCCTCCAGCAGTCCTCAGTTTGTGTGTATTTAAGAGTCTCTTATGGTTTGCCTCCCTCTCTGTTTTAATCTTATTTTTCCTTCTCTTCCCATATGTTCATCTGTTTTATTTCTTAAATTCCACATATATGAGTGAAATCTTAGGATATTTATCTCTCTGACTGACGTATTTTGCTTAGGATAATACATTCTAGTTCCATCCACGTTGTTGCAAATGGCAAGATTTCATTTGGTCACTGAGTAATATTCCATTATATATATACACACACACACACACACACACACCACATCTTCTTAACCCATTCATCAGCTGATGGACATTTGGGCTCTTTCCATAATTTGGCTATTGTTGATGGTACTATCGAGTTTGTTTTTAAAGGGTTGTTTTGGCTGCTATAATGGCTAAAATTATAGGGTAATAAAATTAGAGACAAGGGTACTATTTAGGGGCTTGTAGCAGTATATAGGCACTTTACATATTTTGTAGATTTTTGCAGAACTAGAATGCTATCTTAGTTACCCAGGTTATTCATGTCATAGTATAAGCATGTGATGTAAGAGATCCTTCAATTCTTAGCAAGGAAAAAGAGGGAGGAAGGTGATAATTGGTAGAGAATTAATATTACTAAAGAATACAGGGTTTTTTATGGGGCAATTCACTGGACTGAGGGCAGGGTCTCACTTCAGGTTCAAAAAGTAAAGTGAACTTTCAGTTTAGATTCTGGGGTGCCTGGGTGGTTCAGTCGGTTGAGTGTCAACTCTTTATTTCAGGTCAGGTCGTGATTTCACAGTCATGAGATCAAGCCCTGCATCTGGCTTTGGGCTGGCAGCTCGGAGCCTGCTTGGGATTCTCTCCCTCCCTCTCTGCCCCTCCCCTGCTCACATTCTCATCACAAAAATAAATAAACATTTTTTAAAGAATAGAGGCCAAGTTATTATGTATATATGAAGTATATGTGCCAAGCATTTTAAGCCTTGAAACCCATTAGTGATTGTGTAGTGGAAAAGAAGGAGCAGAAAGACCAAGAAAACTAACTGGTTTTTTTGTTTCACATATTTTTCTGTTCAGAGATATCTCTAGAGCAATTCAGACAAGAAATAATTCAGCCCATGCTTGAATATCTTCAGTAAATCCTAATATTTCATAGTATAAACACTTGCATAATTGTCAGTTAAAATCTGCCTCCATGAATCTTTCAGATGTTGGCTCTAGTTATGTGTGCTGAAACAAAAACAAAGCAGTATATTTATTTTGCCTTTTGCCTAATGACCATGATTTTACCTATTCAAAATTGCCTAGCATGTTTCTCTAGTCTTTCCTCTAGGCTAATTTCAGTCTCTTCATTATTCTTATCATACTCCTCTAGATGTTTCCTTCAGTAAGTGTTCCAGAATTGAGGACACTCTACAAGATGTGGCGTGACCAATTTGAAGTATAATGGAAATATTTAGTTCCTGCTACCTGAGTGTTGTACTTCTACTAATAAGAGTCCTGGAATCCTGTCATTAGCTTTTAGTAATCATATCACATTTGTTTTATTCAAATAGCTCCAGTCTTTAGATGTTTTTCTTATTAACTGCTACCAGGTCAAATTTCTATATTGCATCTTTGTTCTTTATTGGGATAGGGGGGGGAGATGGAGAGTGAATAATAGCATTCAATGAGCTTCTTACAGAATGTATAGTCAATACATGGGGCGCCTGGGTGGCGCAGTCGGTTAAGCGTCCGACTTCAGCCAGGTCACGATCTCGAGGTCCGTGAG